CTTTCCCTTCTCCTCCTCTATTTACATTCTTGTTCATTCCGAATTCTTATTTTCTCATCGTTCGTTCTTGCTCTATCTTCATTTATATACAGTCTTCTACCTTTATCTCTCTTCATTTTTTGATCTTACTTTACGTACACAATTTTACTCTTCTCTTGAAATGGCAACCAGACCATCTTCATCTTCTTCTCCTGGTCTCCTCAAACTGGAGGAACAGCTCACCTGTCCTGTGTGTCTTGACCACTATACCAACCCTAAGACTTTACCTTGTCTACATTCATTCTGTGAGCACTGTCTGGAGAGATTACCTCTGGATAAGAAGAATGAGACCTATTACCTCTCTTGTCCCACTTGTCGTCATTGTACAGAGTTACCAGAAGAAGGAGCAGGAGCCTTTCCTGTAGCATTCACTCTCAACAACTTTAAAGAGATATACAGTCTAATGAAGAAAGTAGCTGATCCTGAACAGGTCACCTGTGACAACTGTACTACAGCTAATGCCACTGGATACTGCAAAGACTGCAGTCAATTCCTTTGTACAGAATGTATCTCTACCCACAAGAAATGGGCTCTTTTTGCTAACCACCAGCTGACAAGTCTTGATGAGGTGACAGCCTCTGATGTTTCTTCTACTTCTCAATTGCTAGCTCCAGCTAAAAAGGAGGCAACCCTCACTTGCTCTGTACCTGGTCATGATGATTCGTTAAGGTATTACTGTGACACATGTGATGAATCTATCTGTCGTGATTGTATCATGCTGGCTCATAAAGATCACAAGTATAACTTAATTGCTGATAGTTATACTAAACACAAAGAAGCACTGGAGAAATCTCTTAATCCGGTAAAAGAGAAAATTGAAGGACTCAAGAAGGTCCTGTCTGCTCTAGCAGAGAGAGAGGGTGAGATCAGAGAGAGAGGAGAAGGAGTCTTAGAAGAAATACATGAAATGGTAGAGGAAATGATTGCTGTTCTTCGTGAGTCAGAGAGGAAACTGACTGAGCAGGCAAAGAGGGTCACTGATGATAAACTAAAGGTGCTGTCAGAGCAAATGAAATCAGCAGAAATGAGTTTGAGTGTTCTGGAGGATGTTGAGGATTATGTGGAACAGAGTCTGAAGACAGGCAGTCCTCAACAAGTCCTGAGGTCTAAGAAACAGATGATGGAGCGTATGAGTGAAGTTACTTCAGGGATCAATGTGGAGGAGTTACATCCAAAAGAAAAAGCCGACTTTGGATTGAGTAAAGATATCAAATCGCTACATCACATTGGAGATATTGTGACCTCTACTGCAATACAGCAGTGTAGAGTGAAGAAGATTGATTTTATTACGCTTGCTGGCAAAGCAGTTTCATTTTCACTATCAATGGAAGCACCAGATTCATCTCTTTTGTGTGTTCCCCTCTCTTGTCTGAGGTGTAGTCTAGTACCAGTTGGTAAAGGTGATCAACCCATTCACACTACAGTCACTACCACCAGCACTGATCCTGGAGCATATACATGTAGGATACAGTGTAACTCTTCAACACGTGGTACTCATACAGTAAAAGTACAAGTATATGATGTACACCTTGAGGATACCTCACTAGTCATCCCTATCAATCCTTACCTTGATAACATCACTCCAGTATGTACTATAACTGAGCTTAGCCGTCCCTGGGGAGTTGCTGTAACTGATGATAATCATGTTATAATAACTGAGGTTGCTGGTAACTTGGTAACAATACTGGATAGAGAAGGAAAGAAAGTGAAATCATTAGGAGGGGAAGGAGGAAGTGGTAATGTTAAGTTTTCTTATCCTCGTGGTGTAGCCATTACTCCAGACAAATTCATTCTTGTATCTGATAATCACAGGATCCAGAAGATAAGCATGGATGGATACCTTATAGCATCAGTTGGTGAGAAGGGCAGTGGACCACTACAATTCAATTGCCCTGATGGTATAGCCATTTCTCCTATAACAGGACAGGTTTATATTGCTGACTGTAGTAATCATCGTATACAAGTCTTGAATCCTGATCTAACCTTCTCTCATTCATTTGGTAGTGAAGGATCAGCTAATGGACAGTTTCAGGATCCACATGACATTGCTATTGACAGTCAAGGATTAGTGTATGTTACTGATAGTAGTAATCATCGCATTCAGAAGTTCTCTCCAGATGGAAAGTTTGTGAGTCAGTTTGGTACTTATGGATCTGGTCCTGTACAGTTTAATAGATCTGAAGGTATAACAATAGACACTGCAGCTACTGGTCTAATGTATGTTAGTGAATGGGGCAATAGTTGTATATCAGTCTTCACTAGTGATAGTGTGTTTGTTAGGAAGTTTGGAAGCAGAGGCAGTAATATTGATCAGTTTCATTATCCCACTGGATTAAAATTCAATAAAGATGGATTCTTGTATGTTTGTGATTTTTATAACAACCGAGTTGTTGTTTATTAGTTTTTATTTCTTTTATTATTGCTAATGATCATAATTTAGTTTTAATTACACTGAGATCTTCCCACCACTGCAGCTCTAGCAATCAATAACCAAGTTACCATGTTGCACAGAAGTGAATGGTTAAAATTCACTATTAATTTCTGCATAAGCAAAGACCAAATGGCAGTATAATCAGTAAAATTATGCAGCAAGTATATCTGTGTGAATCAGTTCTTGCATTTTAAAGCAAAATTAGAAAAATCACTTTTGGCCCATTCGGCTCTGTATAGATTTGTGCCACAGCATGACAGATCATTAATGATATTCATTGGTGAATGGACCACAAATAAAATATTATAAATGTACATGTAGGTATTTAAATTGCATGTTCAATACATAATTATTAAAAAATTGTATTGTTTATTTATTTATTTATTTATTTAGTTTTTATGATTTTGTGTTGCCCCAAACAACTCCAAATGATAACCTGTTGTCGTGGAAACTTGTCTCTGATTGGGTCGTTCCTACTGGAGGCTGCGTGGACTCCTCCCCTCTCCTCGTACGTTACCATGGTAACCGCCTTGCATACGTGGGATCGCACTCTGGACTGGTGCTGTGTGTGGAACTGATGGGCGGAGTCATAAAATGGAGAAAACAGCTAAGAGGAAGAGTAGAGAGTTCACTTTGTGTATCTTATTGTGGAGAATATGTAATAGCAGGTAGGGATTGTAGAATAGATACTGTATAGCATGAAATTTTTTAGGGCTGTAAATTTTGCAAATTTGCCTAAAAATCTATTTTGTGAATTTAATTTTTGTGAATTTATGCTGTCTGCCATTTTGTACCGTAATTATTTAATTTTTGTGGAATTAATTTTCACAAATCTTTTAAAAATTGCAAAATCCACTAAATTTACTGTCCTCGAAAATTTTGTGCTTTAATTTAAAATTTAATTCTGTAATAATTTTGCAATTTGCTAATAATTACACTTAGTTAATTTTTATAGACGTTATAGATAATTGCAATTTTGTTGCAATGGCAAAATTAGTAATAATATTATACTCATAATAAAAACCACTTTAAGGTACATGTATATACTTTTCTTTTATTTTTATTACCTTTTACCTTCTCTCTCTCTTTCTCTCTCCCTCCCTCTCTCTCTCTATCAGGATCCTATGATGGTTGTCTGTATGTATTGCATTCATTGTCTGGTTCCATTCACTGGTGTTTCACCACTAAAGGTTCATTATCAGAAGATCCCATTAAATCCTCACCAATAGCTCATCCAGTAACCGGTTATATTTGGTTTGGATCACATGATCATCACCTATACACTGTTGATATATGTGTAAGCAGTGAAGGATATCAACAAAATTATGCATGGGTAAATGTACAATTTATGAGTTTCTTTTAAGCATGATGTGGCTTAAAGTTTTTTTTAGATATTTTATATTTAAAACAGTCGTAACTCAAAAAATTTAAGTCGGAGTCAGCTCAAACTTTCTACACAGCATAAGTACATCAATATGTATCAGAAAATGTAATAAAAATTGGGGGTCATTCCAGAGCCATATTTTGGAAAAAAACCATGGGCTATAGTACAGGGATTTTTCAGATTTTGGCCAATTTTAAAAAATGGCCGTAACTTCAAAAATTTAAGTCAGAATCAGCTCAAACTTTCTACATAGCATAAGTACATCAATATGCATCAGAAAATGTAATTGTTAAAATTTTAATGAAATATTTTATTTTTTAGGAGAGGAGGTGTGTCCATGCTATTCATTTAGGAGGTGGAGCTATCTTCAGCTCTGTCACTTTTTCTCGAGATGTGTCCACGGCAATAGTTGCCACATTACAAGGGAAAATATTATGCATAGACACAGTAATGAAAAAAATTGAATTAATTTCATCTTAATTTATACATGTTCATTAAAAATTGTTAGTTATAGTTTCATTTTTTAGGATAATGGTGATATTCTATGGGAATATTCATGCCCTAGGCCAGTATTTGCCACACCCACTGTATTACCTAATGATGACATCATTTGTGGGTGTGTCAATGGATCTTTGTACGTTCTATCAAGTGACGGAAAATTAGTAAGAATACATGTATGTAGATTAATATATTATGCATGTACATGTATTTTGTAGGTAACTGAATTGACTACTGAAGGACCAGTTTTTACATCCTCCATAGTCGCCGTGACGACAACACTGCCCACTCATCCAAACGAGTTTTTTATATTCTCCGGGTCACACGACAAGAGCATGTATTGCTGGAAAAGTGGGTGGAGCCCGGAAGAAAATAAACACACGTACGACCTTAAATGGAAGGTGGCACTAAACGGCGAGATATACAGCATAGGAATGTTATCTAAAAGTCATATGATCAATACTTTGTGTACATGTACGGCTAAAGGAACGATTTATATTCTTTCACCAGATTCAGGACGTATTTTAACTTGTCACAATTTGCCAAATCAAATTTTTTCATCGCCAGTTTTTATCGAGTCTTGTATCTTAGTTGGTTGTCGTGACGATGGACTTCACTGCCTTTCTCTAGTAATGGCTGGAGAATGAATACTTTAAAATGAAAGTTTGTTAGTTCTCAGTTTTTGCTCTTCTCCTGAGGCATTAATTTTTACTGTCCTTTAGCTCTTTATCAGAGGAAGGAAGAGCACTGATGTAAATATGACCTTCAACTCTATTTGTTATTATTGTATTTATTATGTAGTATCATCAAAGGATTATTGTGTACCATGAATTGGGTCATTTTTATGTTAACGATAAAGCACAGAATAAAGACGTTGGAAATAATTTCATAATTTGCTTACATGCATTTCAATATACATGCATTAATAGTTGAAAAGAAAGTATTCATAATTCTAAATTTAGTATGTACTCACAATCCATCATTTAAAATACACATGATTCACATATATGTACATGTACATATACATATGTGTACATGTACATATAAGTACATCTACATCTATGACTGACGTAGCTGCTAAAAATATCCAATACATAGCTCATATGTTATTTATCAAGCGTGCTAATGCATAACAGTTTGAGTGTACATGTACATGTAAATATACATGTACATGTATAAAAGTGCATGTACATGTATTCTTGTGGTGTACATCTTTTGCTGTGTTTAAAACAAAACAAAGGAAATGATTTTTATCAACTTTGCATTTGCTTGTGTATGTTTACAAGACCGTATACACATATACATGTATGTATACATATGTATTATATATATACAGCTTGTTTATTCAAGGTAGAGGCACTCTCTCTTTTGGCCAAAGTGTAGGTAGGTCAGTATATAGTTAGTGGATAAGAATAACAATGTTCAGTTTTGTGTACAAGTGGAAAACTATCCATTATATAAAGGGAGTGCTACCCACAATAGCTGCATTGTGATATAAGAACAACTTTGGAAGAAGAGGGAAAGAGAGAGAGAGAGAGGGAAGCTGCTGCAACTTGAAACTGAAGAAGAAATAAAAGCAACAACCTGTTTTATATACTAGAGAGAGAAGAAGATTGTTATCTTGTTATACACTGGACTAAAATGAAGCCAAAGTTGCTTAGTCATTCCTTGCTGATCTCTCTAACACTCTTCATCTTTCTTCCTCACTATGCTAAGGCTCAAAGCTGTCTTCCTGGCACTGTAGGGGGTACCATTGGTGGAGTGATTGGTGGAATCATCATTGGTAGCATAGTCTCTATTATCATTACAGTCCGTGTTATGAAATCTCTTGGTTATGGGGGCAATGTCGATGTCCAGTTGAATCCAAAGAGGGACCATTCACTCTCACTGAGTGATGATGTACTGAGTGACAAAGACTCTTGTATTCCAGTCAAGTATACTCGCAAAGTGGAGAAATCCTTGGAAAGTTCGGCTATGGTAGACAGCACTTCGCTTTTAATACAAAACTCGACAGATAAAAGAGGTTTGGGAAAACCTGCAGCTTATCTTACACCAGGTGAGGCTCCTAATCTTCCTTCTTGTGGTCCTCCTTCTATTCACCCCCTCTCCCCCCCTCCTTTCTCTCCCCCTGATAAAACTTATGTGGGGGACGATGAGTATGATATCCCTTGTATTCGCCCCTCAAATAAAATTACAAACTCGAGCAAAGCAGGTCTGCATAAAGTCCCGAGCAGTAGCAAGCCCCTTACGAAAAGTTTATCTGTCGACGAGATGAAAGCTTTGAGACTTATAAAAGAGGATACCATGGACTTGGAGGAGCAATATGAGTATTTCGATGGTCCTAAAGTCGGCTCTCCCTCTGACGATGAATATTACGTTCATGTCGTGCAAGACAAGGAAGAGCAAAATGGACTTGGAAAAGGAGGACCAGCTCCGAAACTAGCGACACCCATGATACCTACCCTTCCTGTAATGAGGCCACCTATTGATAGTGGGGTTAATTCGCCTAGTCCTTTCTCACAAGTTAAACTCAAACCAGTCATCCCTAAAGATCTTTCTGCTTCTACATTAGCATCGCAACCGTCCAATATAATTAAAAAACTACCGCCTGCTCCAAAGCCAAAACCAGCAGGTGCTAAGAAACTCAGCAAAGAACTGTCCAATACTTTGCCATCAAAGCCGCGGCAGCTTACAAGAAGCAGTAGTTTTCACGAATACATGAATGTTGGATTCAAGCTCCCAAAAGGAAAACAATAATTATTTATTGAGAGTAGGTTGTTGTTTTCTTTAATAATGCAAGTGTAGGCATGTGACTTGACTCTGCTTCAGTAAATCATCATCAGCTCTTTAATATTTATTTCTTATTATTATTATTATTATTATTATTAGTTTTTATGATATGAGTGTTCTGCTATTTACACAATTGTGCTCTCATTCACAAATATCACTGTCTTTCATATTTTTTTCTCTATCATATTATTCTTACTCCTAATAGAGTTCTACCTTAATTTCTTTATTATTTTTCTTACCTAACAAACCACTCTCCCTATATCTTTCTCTCTCTTTCTTATGCTTGTTATCCACTATAAAAATATTTTCATATCTACTTCCAGTTTCCTCCCTCCCTCTCTCTCTCTCTCTCTAAAAGCTTTTTGTGTCATCTCTTAAACAAACTGTCTGTATATTTTCATCAATGTGTATGGATATTAATAGAAAATCAATTTAGAATGTTTTCACTACAACAATCCGGCAATTTATAAACAAGCAGCAAAACTGTTGACAGGATTATTGTCAGCCCAAGCAGAATATGTTTTTATACTTTATACATGTAGGACAGTAGAAGAGGTGAATCAGGTGATACAGTAGCTTACTGTATACAAAGAAACTGAAACTAGGACTGTTGTATAGATTATTTTGTGTTGTAATAGACCACGTGTAAGTCCCATACTAAATAAAGGTCATGGGGATTGTTGTTAATAGCAATAAATGAGAGAATGTCATGCATTAGGGAGTTGATAAATTGAATTATAATGATAAAAGTTAGCAAATTGTTATAGTCAGTAGTTTTTAATCGAGTCTCATTCTTTATTCACTGGCTCCATCTCCTCTTTCCTTACAGACATCAAGTTCTATACAAAATATAATGTACAATAAGTCACTTTTAATAGGCTATTAGTATTTAAAATCAATCCTTGCTGTAATCATACAGAAACTTGCTATACAGAAAGCTCAATAGCAAGGGGGTAATAATACTAATACATTTTGAATAGAGATCTCCTTAACAAAAGATGCAAACACTATTATTTTGAATTAAACACTGGATACAAATGTGATTGTTATTTAATTGTGATTTGTATGTGGAAATGACTCACTTGAGCTCTCTCTAAGACTGGTTCAGGTAGCCCTGCTAGTCTTGCAGTCTGTAGTGCATAAGAACTATCAGTACTTCCCATCTACAGTGCAATAATGATCTAAGTCTAACATTATCTGGTTCTCTCCCACCTCTATCTTGTATGTTAGGATTATCTCCCCATTGCTCCATGGTTGAGCTACAGTGTAATAAGAGCCAATCTCATCATATCTGTTTGAAAGGGTTTCCGTTAATTCGTGAAAGTGTGTGGCTAATAATGTCCGACAGCCTTGAAAGAAAAAGACAGAGAGAGAGAGAGGGAGGGAGGGAGGGAGAGAGAGAGAGAGAGAGAGAGAGAGAGAGAGAGAGAGAGAGAGAGAGAGCAGAGAGCAGAGAGAGAGAGAGATGGAGAAAGGGGAACAAAGAAAAAAGAATATAGATTGTTTCATCTATGTACTGTATACAATATGATCCTACCTATTGCTTTATGAATGTATTCAATAACTGATTGAGCTATTGCCACACCTTCACTAGTTGCAGTACCACGTCCTACACGTGCACATATGCACAGAATAAAAGTGTTAAATTTAAACAGAAAAGAAATGTACAACAATATATTCTTTCATACCAATCTCATCTAGTATGACAAATGATGCTGGAGTTGCTGTGCTTAGTATGTGAGCCGTCTCAATCATTTCAGTGTAGAAAGTTGACTGTCCTTTGGTAAGGTTGTCACTAGCACCGACACGAGCAAAGACTTTATCAGTAACACCTTTAAAATAAAATAAAAATATTTTTAATATTTATTTTATTCCTTACTTATCTCAGCTGAATTGGCCGGCACAAAAGAGCCCATCTATAAAAAATAAAATAATAGTAAAAAAAATTTAACAATTTTAAAGAATCATCTATGGCTGTACCTGTGCTAATATCACAATGAGAGCATTCTGCCTCAAGAAAGTACTCTTACCTGGAATGAGAGTACACAGTATATTTGTATTATTGATTACATTGTATATACAATACCAGTACATACAGCACATATTAATATATTGAATGGAAAATACTGCCAGTTTAATATACAGTCAGTAGCATCCAATACAATTTATACATGGCATGATGGTAGAATACAATATTGTAATGCATTACATTGTACATGTTTAATAATAGAATGAGCAATTCACTTCAGTATAAGCACACACACACATATATGTACATGTATGTACTATTACTATAATAATAAATATATAGCATACAATCCATGAATGAGTTTATAAGCATGTACATGTGCATGTATATTGTACTAGCTGTCATTTGTTATCCATTATAGTTACTGTGTTGTTTACATACCTCCCATATTTGGGCCTGTTATGATCCAAGTCTTATGCTCCTCCATTTTACAATCGTTAGGAATCACTTGTGCCTTTACTGCTGATGATAGGACAGGATGATAGCCGTTGATAATGTTAAAGACTGAACCCTCATTCGTTAGTACAGGCTTACAATAATTCTAATGGAGAGAGAGTGGGGGGAGGTGACACTTTAAAATGTCACATATTTTTGTCTCATTTTGTGAATTCCCAAAAAATAACGAGAATTAGACAACCATAAAGATTGCAAAAAAATTAATAATAAGTTGCTTTACTTTGTTCCTAGCCACATTTGCTAAACTAAGCGAGACATCAAGGGATGCTAGCCCCTGAGCTGCTTCCAATAGATCACTAGTATTCTCTCTTACCTAAAAACACATAAAAGTATGTACAGTATAACCTGCTATTGTGGACACTCTAAAATAAGGACGCCTCTATAATGAGGACAGGTAGTATCAGTCCCAATACAATAGTAATGTGTATTAATAAACCTCTGAAATAAGGACACCTCTATAATGAGGACAGTTTTATTGGGTCCAAGGTGTCCGGAATAGATAGCTAGGTTTGACTGTAATGCAGGATACATGTACATGTACATATATGTACTCATGTACATGTACATTTTGTGTTCATTTACTTTGTCGAGTAGTTCTGATTGTATTCTCGTTTCTATTAGTCCATATTCTGTCGTTAGTCTTAGATGCTCTAAATTCAACTTCTCCAGTTCTGGATTACTAAGCAAACAATGGGAATGCTTTTAATTTTATTGAAAAAGAAAATCTAAAGCCTTGTATGTCAAATCTATTACTGTATAACATTTTAAAATCTATCACAAGCTTACCTAAATCTTTCAGCTGATTGTGTTTCCTCCACACTATTAGAAATAATAAAAATGATACAATAGTTACTGTAGCATTACTATAGTGAATGTTCTACTGATAGATACACGTGCTTGTGTTACCTTCTCAAGCTTCTCCTGTCAATGTGTTTTCCCTGAGTCTTTGTCGTTTCGAGGATCCTATAAAACTGCTTGTGTTGAACGACTAATAATTTAGATAGATTGAATCGCTCCCTGAGAACAAAAGAGAAAGAAAGAAAGGAGGATAGAGAGAGAGAGAGATAAAGAGAGTGAGATAGGGGGCATGATAAAGAGAGAGGGAAGGAGGGAGAGAGAAAGGTGTTCAGATATAATGTAGCTAAACATTGCCAAACTGGGTGAGCTTGTCTTTTAAAGCTAGCTGAACTATATACTGGCACTAAACTAAACACAAGAATCCCATTGCTACTTTTTAGCCAAATTATGATGGAGTACATTGGTTAAGTGTGAGCAGAGATTTATTATACTATCGTAATTCAATAAACTATATTTTTAAATCCCTGGGTAAGTACATGTATGTACATGTACTAAATGTATTATAAAATTTAGAGAGAGAGAGGGGGGGGGGAATTAAGAAATTAAATACACGTGTCATTGTGTATGTCACATAGTGTCTGTGTTGTTCATTTTACTTCATGTTGTTAGCTAACAGATCAACTTGTGTCTCATTCTCTTTCAGCTGTTTCTGTAAACGGTCGGCCTCCATGGAATAACCTGTACAATCAACTGTTACTAACTAATAATAGAACTGGGTGCACCCAACCCACTGTTCTAAATTTAGTAACACCAATCCCAAATTTAGTAACACTGACCCCAAATTTAGTAATGCCAACCTTTTTTGATCGTAAAATTTTTCTTGCATATTGCACTGTTAAGCTTCTTCGTCAACTTTGGAAACTCTTGTAAACCTACTCAGTAAAACAACTCGGTAAAACAGCTCAGTATAACTCAGTAAACCTCTTAACTCCTCTTGCAAGTCGGACTCTTTGGATAAGTCTTCCTTAAGATATTGGATGATGTCATGTGTTGTACTAAGTGTGTTTCCTATCAGAAATAAGTCTTCTAAACTTGCTCTGCCAGTTGCCACCTGCAAACATAAAAAATAACTTAAATGCAAACATAATTATCCACTCTTGATGTTAATTAATGCCTAGTTTGCAACTTTGCATATAATCGAAGGTATACTTTCAGAAGGTGTAACATTTCACAATAGTTATTTTTCCTATACGTCTATATACATTAATAATTTTTGCTACAATTTTTTCACAATAGTTAATGTCATGAATTTATGCAAAAAAACACAGTCCCCTTATATGTATTATGTATCTACTAATATTGCTTATCTTTCAATTTTAGCTATGACAAATACACAATGTACATGTACTATTTGCCAGTACTTGCCTTTTGAATGAACCTCTCAAGATCACATATTGATTTCAATGCTGTGACTAGCCAGTCGCTCTCCCACTGTCTGTTCTTAAAGTACTCCACCACATTGAGTCTCCTACACGTGTACATACATGTACATGTACATTAGAATATTATAATACATGTATTAACTAATTACTAAAGGATGGTGTGTGTATCATGTATGCATATATATATATGTATTATACATATGTGTGTGTGTGTATTGTATTGCATTTACCTGTTAATTTCATTCACATATTATAATACATGTATTAACTAATATTGTTAAAGGATAAAGTGTGTATGCATATATATACACATACATACATATATGTGTGTGTGTGTGTGTGTGTGTGTGTACTATACACATTATGTACATACATGTACATTTACATCAGAATATATAATACATGTATTAACTGATTGTTTAAGGATGTTGTGTGTGCATATATAAATGTATTATGTGTGTGTGTGTGTGTGTGTACTATATTGCATTTACCTGTTAATGTCATTCACATTAGTTAGCGGTGCCCTGCAATATAAAGCAATAATAATAATAATAATAATAATAATAATAATAATGATGATGATCATGATGATAATAATAATAATAATAATAATAATAATAATAATAATAATAATGATGATGATCATGATGATAATAATAATAATAATAATAATAATAATAATAATAATAATAATAATAATAATAAACATACGATAGTCTTTCTCTAATTAATCTCTTTCCTCCAGCAGTGACTGTCTTATCAATGCACCCTAACAAAGTCTGTGCTCTTGTATTGGCTAACAACGGCCTGAAATCACACAGAACTAACACAAAATCACATCACGATAACTCACGTTACTAATTCAAGTGAGCGTCTAGTGCGAGCATCAATGGTCACATGATTCGTGTGAGAGTAGTGGAGAGGAGGGCGGAGGAATGGGACGAGGGAGCGCTGGGTGTGTCTGATGTAGTTGAGTATTGAGAGGCTGGCTTGAGACTCCAGGGAAGAGTAGCCATCTTTGCTGAGTGAAGTGAGTATGCTCCTGCAATTAATAATGATTAAATGATATGTTGCTATTGGGATAAAATTTATGTTGCACTCAGTGAAAATTACTATAATTTTTAATGATTTTTATTCCAAAAACACAAACATAAAATCTATTACAAATTTTTTGTCAAATAATTATAATTTTTAATTAATTTTAAATTATTACATACTTATACGTTTCTGAGGGTTCGGCTGTCTCTTTTAGCCACTCCCCTGGAATTGACGTAATCTGACACTCTTTAATAACCAACGAACTAATTAACCCCTTTACGGATGACGGAATGTGTTGGGTGGTCCCCATATCTCCTCCTTTTAGTAACTGATTCGTCTTCTCAGATAACAGTACTTCCGATGGGGATACCCTTTCAATGTGTTCATCCAATTGATCCTCAGTTATCATTGTCACCTGATAGGAGGGATTTAATATACATTATCTCTAGCTATATATACATGCATAGTACAAAATTTTCAAAATAATATACATACAAGTAATGGAGTAAAAATAATTTATTTTGTGGTCCTGTTATTTCAGTCATTACTTGAAATTTTGAGGTCGAGAGCTCTAGCCAAGCTATGCCAAGGTTTTCCTCTGGTCCTGGTACTATGGACATCAAGTGGTTAGCGGCGTCTCCCTCTGGTTCAAGGAGTGTACCAGGTGTAATCAACTGGACTACCTCACGATTCATTAGTTTACCATTCGGAGACCTAAAACGTGTAATGAGCTGTTAGTAAAAATGAAGTACATATACCGTATAGTGGGCAATTTTGGAGGGAGTTAAATTTAGCAAATTTGACATTTTGATAGCCATTCGCCAAAATAAAAATCGACCATTTTGAGCCATTATGTGGATGTTCAATGGCACATCGTCACAAATTTGCCAATCACTAAAATTTAGCAATTCATCAAATTTAACTCCCTCCAAAATTTCCCACTATACGGTATAATATTATTCGTTACCTTTCTTGTATCTGGTTGCATACAGCTAGTTTGAAGCCAGCCTGAAGGAGGGTTTTCTGCCATTCGGCCAAAGCTCTGATGGGAAACCCAGCGAGTAGTGTCTTCTTTCTTATGCAAGTACGTAATGATGTCCTACTGGATACTAGAGCTATGACATGAAATTTTAGGAGAATATAATAATTTGTGAATAGCTATTAAATTTTTATAGTTTAATTTTGCAGTGATTTAAAATTTGTGCATTTGCAAATCAAAAATTGACTATACATAAGTAAAAAAATATGTTGCACAAGCCTCCCAAGAATCAAAATTTTACTAGGAAGTAGAAATTCTCATTATAATTTCAGAGTGTGGCTTTACTTACCAGCATCTTCTCCGAATATCTCGTAAAAGTCTCCAACTTGGAAGAGAAGAAGGTGTTCGGGGTATTGTTTCTTGATGCTTCTGAACTGAGCGATGAGGCTCGCTCGCCTGTAGAGCGTGCTATAATTCCTAAAGCACAGGCCAGACAAACGCATCAAGCCACGGGTAGCCATTACGGCGCACGTGGTTTGGCGCATGCGCAGTAGGGAAGCTGTCAAACCTGACCACACCCACTCAATTAATGTTTCTTACTGTGACACAGCATTGCCAAAAATTTTTTATAAAATAGGATGAGCTCTCGAGACGAGATTCTGGCCAATTTTCAGGTATATATGAATAGTCTGGAACCTATAATATGCTTTTCATTCCCAGGCCTTTACCGGAATGGACGATCTTGGAACCTGTATCGGAATTCTCGAGAGTCATAACTGGGATTTACTGGTGAGCGCCTCATATCGACTCTATATCGTGTATATTTAAAGTATTTTGTGTCAATATGTGCTCTCATTCGCACTTGACTTGAGATTTTTGACACGCCACGCCTCTTTTGTTGTGGGCGTGGTCGAAATTTAAGCCACTCCCCTTAATTAATTTTTATTTACTTTTTGCAGTCTGCAGTCAATAGTATAGTACCACAGGATTTTAGCGACGAGTCTCAGGGACAAGAGATAAGTGCACCAGTGCAGGAAACAGGAAACAGACAGTAAGTTATATGTACATGTACATGTATTTCATAGTAATTAAAATTTGAGAATTTTTTGAGCCGATTTTTAAAATTAGCTTATTTTGGATGCTAATAACTCAAAAAGTTTTAGTCGGAATCAGCTCAAACTTTCTACACAGCATAAGGGCATCAATATGTATCAGAAAATGTAATAAAAATTGGGGGTGATTTCGGAGCCATTTTTTGGAAAAAACCATGGGCTATAGTACAGGGATTTTTCCAGAAATTGGCCAATGTTTTAAAATGGCTGTAACTTGAAAAATTTAAGTCGGAATCAGCTCAAACTTTCTACATAGCATAAATACATCAATATGTATCAGAAAATGTAATAAAAATTGGGGGTGATTTTTGAGCCATTTTTTGGAAAAAACCATGGGCTATAGTACAGGGATTTTTTATACATAAAGACATCACTAGTAATTTGCTTAGTGATTGAATATTTCAGTAATCTATTCTACTTTAATTTAGTGAAGAGGCCGAACTGGTAGATGGTCTCCGAAACCCGTCAGACGAGGCTGTCGTCCTTGAAAACCACCTCCGCCAACACAACCACGTGACGCCCCAACAAGAGCCACAGCCATCAACCGAAAAGAGGCGGAGTTTAGAGCACAGCTATGAGGAGGGAGGAGGAGGAGGAGAGGGAGGGAGCTCCTGTAGCGAAGAGTATGATGATGCTAGAGAAACTCTCAGTGACGAGGAGGTAGAAGGAGATGGTGAAGCCATTACTGATGATATGTTCTTAGCAGATGAAGAACCAATAGCTAAAGAACCTTTAAGTAAGATATGTACATGTACATGTACATATACATGTATGCATGTACATGTATTAATGGGTGGGGCTTTAGTGTACATGTACATATAATGTGTACCTTTAGTATTGCATGTGCATGTATTGGTATAAGTGGATTTGAAGGGATTTTAAAAGTAACACAAAAATTAATAATATTAATAATGCTATAAGTACATGTACTGTACATGTATATGAAATGATTAAAGCTGCTAAAAGTGGACAATTACATGTACATGTATGTGGGCTTGTACATGTACTGTACATTAATTCTTGATTTTGTAGTTACATGTACATGTACTTGTATAACTTTGTATATTTGGCATCAGGTGTTTAGTCTTGTTGTGTGGTATCCTGGAGTATACTGAGTTATACTAGTTGCATGTTAAACAATGGAAGGCGGTTGTTATCACGTTTATTGTCCAACTAATGCTCACCTGCTAAGAGAACCACTAGACACTTGCATTCTACTATAAACTGAAGACCTTGACAATGGGGGAGAGAGAGAGGGGGGAAGAGAGAGAGAAATGTGTTACATGTACATATACATGTACATGTTAGACCATTTTATGTACATGTACTTCTAATACATGTATGTACATGTACATATTAAGTGTAGTTGATTTACATTTACATGTACAGTACATGTACATGTAGGTTTTTTTACCATTAGAACAAGTAAATGTAGTACATGTACATGTATGTATGTGTATATGCATGTTGATAAGATTTAATGTTATTAATATTTAATTCCTCGTTCATTCTCATTCCTTTTACACGTACATGTACATGTATCTCATAAACTTAATCTTTCCCTCTCTCTCTCCAGTTCCTGAAGATTGTGAAGATCCATTTGAGTGCTCCCTTTATCTCTCGCAGAGGTTTGAGTCTCGTTATGGTTCTCCTCACCCGATGTTTTTCGTCGGGTCTCTCTCCGACGCTGTCAAGGAAGCCTGCGGAGCTTCCGTCTCCGAGGTTAGCTAATGGGCGGGGTTTGTTTAAAGTGGGTATGGTTTTACTTTGTTGTAGAGACGACCAATGTTCATCTACTTGCACCATGATAAGAGCATATTATCCAATATATTTTGTAGGTGAGTTGAAAACATGACGTTATTTATGTACATGTACAGTACATCTATTACATGTTATTGTTATACCATTATTATGGTACAATTGTATTATACATTTGTACATGTACATGTATAGTAGAATTCAGTTTTAATATTCTACATGTATTTTATGTGCATTTACATGTATGTACATGTACATGTACATGTATACATGTACAGTATGTTGTATCTTTTCTCTTCTCTTTAGTCAACTCTTGTGTTGTGAATCAATTGTTAGCTTTTTAAGTATTCATTATCTTGTGTGGGCGTGGGACCTCACGAACGAGAAACTAAAGAGAAAGTACGTCAATGCATGCACTACATGTACATTTGCATTTATACATGCGTATGTACATGTACATGTACTTACTACATATTTTTGTCTGACATGTATTATGCTGTGTTAGTTTGTTTTTTACATGTACAATGTACAGTAGTACAGGGACTTTGGCCAAAAAAACACATGTACATGTACTTTTTCTATCATCAAAAGTAGAAGCCTTTAAGTCATGATCTACTGAGTCTGCTAAATGTACAGTAGCTCTTGTTTGAAAGCTGCTCATTCTCCACATAGACCACTAGGTGTATACATGTATGTACAGTACATAGTTTTTTAAATAATAATCTACATCAGACATGTACTGTATATGTACATGTACATGTACATGTACTTGTTTTATAAATAGATTATTGGACATGGTGAGGGAGTGTTTTGGTACGCTGGTATCAAACAATGTAGACGACATAAAGCCAGACCATTTACCGGCCATACTGATAGTCTATAAATCAAAGGGACAGATGGAAGTTAGGAACATCATACAAGGTATGTGTACACATGTACATGTACAAACACATGTACATGTACATTGTAATAGAGAGAGGGGGAGGGAGGGGGAGAGAGACAGAGGGGGAAGAGAGAGAGACAGAAGGGGAAGAGAGAGAGACAGAGACAGAGAGGGGATTTTAAGGCACTACATGTACATGTACATATATGTTCATTTTAATTCTATGATTTTTGTTATTTGTTAATGTACATTACATATTCATGTACATATTTATGTAGGTCAATCTGATCCAGACTTACTCCTAAGCAGTTTAATAGTAGCGCACGACCAGCATGAACAAGTCAAGGAGACTGATCGTAAAGAAGAGGTAGAGTACACATGTACATGTACATTATACACACGTACATGTACATTATACACATGTATATTTACATGTACATGTGTATTACAAGAGAAGGGAAGAGGATGAGAAGATCAAACAGTTTGAGTTGCATACTGTCATATTATCAATTTATCACATAGATACTAGGAATGAGTTTGTTTACTGTGTAGACAAGGACACAGGCTATGCATGTGCTTATCTTGACATTTTTATAATTATTTGTACTTTTGTTGTTATTTATATATTTTGTTTGTTTGTTTGTTATTTGTTTGTTTGTGTTAGATTGAGAGATTAGAACGAGAAGAGATGAAGGCACTACAGGAAGCAGCTTTTAGAGAATCACTGAGAGCTGATCAAGAGAAGGTTAAGAGAGAGAGAGGGAGAGAGAGGGGGGGAGAAAGGGAGGGAGAGAGAGTGTGTGTGATACATGCACATGTATGTGATACGAGTAATTATCATCTTTATGTTACAGGAGAGGTTAAAGATGGAGGACGAGAAACTCAAGCAAGAGAAGGAAAGAGAAGAAATTTTAGAAAAAGAAAGGAAAGAAGTAATCACACACGACAGCTAAGGATGGAATCAAAGCCTTCAGTAGTTTTTTCTAAAACAAAATTTTTGCCCAATGAAATGTGCCTGTTATACAATGATGCATTCATTTCTTAATTATTTATTTATTTATTTATTCTTTTTTAAAGGAGCTAATGCGTCAAATGGAGAACCTCATCCCCCCAGAACCGGACGACACTCACACGAAGGTATCGACTCTAAGACTAAGGTTCCCCGATGGCTCCATCCACCAGAGGCGGTTCCTCCCCTCACACACTGTGGCTAACCTATTGAACTTTGTTGGATCCAAAGGATACCAATCTGAGGAGTATAAGCTGTTGACATCCTTCCCTAAAAAAGATGTAAGTATACTAGTAACATGTACATGTACACATGTACATGTTTTCTGGGTTCACCGATCTTCGGTTGTACATGTACATGTACTTTACTCTTAAAAATCAGTTTTATATACCAGCTAAACATAGCTAGCTATAGCTAGTAGACATTTACATTTTTAATAATTATACATGTACATGTACATGTACATGCATGTACAGTATGTATTATAGATATGTACATGTACATGTACATTTTGACTTTAATATTAGCCACTCAGCATGTTTCTAATTGAGACTTTAGATAAATTCAGACATGTACATGTACATGTATGTTAGTATGTACATGTACATGTGCATGTATGATGAAGCAGGGCCTGTACCAGACAGTGCTAACCCTGCTATCCTGAGATATGTAGACACTTAGCAATCTGCCAATTGGCAAGTTTACAGGTCTGCATTCCCTCATCCTGTCTCTCCCTCTTCCCCCATTGAGCTCACTCTACATACATGTACATGTACAGTACCAGTGTGGGGCTTATGTCTATTGTTTTACCTTTCATTGCATGTAGTACGTGTACATATGATTATGCATGTATACCATCTTATACTGAATGGTGGTTGCATGTATTGTATAGTAAAGTCAGTTAGTTTGTGTGTTTGATGTTTAGATTGCTTGATCTTCCTTAATGTGCTTTTGTGTTCTTGTCTCTAATTTTTATTGATTCTTTTTCTTCCTCCTCTTCTCTCTCTCTCTCTCCCCTCTCTCTCTCTCTCTCTCTCTCTCTCTCTCTCTCTTCTCCCTCTCTCTCTCCCCCCTCTCTCTTTCTAGGTAACATCATATCATCCTACTCTAACACTAGAGGAAGTTAACCTCTATCCTCAGGAAACTCTTTTCATTGAAGAGAGATGAGAGTTGGAGACTTTTCTCACTCTCTCTCTCTCATTTCTTTTCCTCTCAAGTTTAAATTAATTAATGTGATTATTATTATTATTATCATTATTGCTATAATTATAAAATAGTCTCTATTCTTATTTATATTATTATTCTGATTATTATTTTATCCCCAGTAGACAGAGAAGTACAATTCACCTAATATACATACAGTACATAATACTAATAAACATATGCAGCTACATGTATGTACATGTACATGTATATTAATCGCAAGTACATGTTTATGCATACTCTAAAGGTTCACAATCTTTTATATTAGCTGCTTATAATGTACTTGTAATTCTTAATAATATCCAGTATTTTTCTTGTACACAATATCCTTATCTACTGCGTGTGCATGTATTCTTTCATGTCCATGCTATTCACGCTAACCCTCTTCGAGCCACTTCCCACTCTCTTTAATCTCTCATCCTCCAATAAGTCCCTTACCAGTCATCGAGTACCTACAAAAATAGCAGCCCTTTCTCCAGTTAGCATCTTAGCCCTTTGATCATTTCTCTTATAGCCTTTTTCAAAGAATTACTGCAAATAGTGGGTGAGGTAGTCCCCCTTTATGATAGGGTATAAGATGAAAGGGATCTTGCTAAGAGGCCATGCCTACAAGGTTTTGCCAGTTGGAGTAGTGTCTTGTTGAAAAGTGAGCCCCTTCTCCTCACTCTACTCTTTTACAGCTCAGGGACTAATGAATGAAGAGCCAGCTGTTTCTTCTCCCCCCTCTTCCAAGGAAGGAGAAGGGAAGAAGAAAAAGAAGAAGGAGAAAGGAAAGTAAGTCATTATAGTATGCATCATGTGTTGAACTTGAATGGAATATTTTAGACTTTTATAAGTCTTAGATTCTCCTGTAGCTCAATAGTGGCTTTATATACATGTATTTTAGCTACAGCACCATTTTGTTGTTTTTTGGGAGTGCTTTTTATGCTGGTGATTGTATTTTTTTGAATAACCTGCATGAATTATGTGTTTACTCATTGAGCTGAAGCAAGAAAAAGGCCTTTATAGTAAACAGCTTTTATCCTCTGTCATGCTAGTATAGCTAGTAGATCAAATGTGTTCTAGCTTGTAGACTACATATACACTTGAATATAGATCTTTAATGTTAGCTAATGTACATGTATATGCTCATATTCTTCTCTTCTCCTTAATTGCATTGTGATGATGGGACAGGTGACATTAAAGGCATCAAATTACTTTCCTTTTGCTCTCGTTCAATTCCCTTTACACTCCCTTCCTTACAATAACAAAGGAGAGGAAGGAAGAGAGTGAGGATTATTATCACTACGGGCTGGAGTGTGTCTTGAGATATTATTAGCGATTAAAGCTATTAATTTATTAAGATGTGAACTAATAAGACTATAAACACACATACAGAGAGAGCCAATGATTGTACTCAACAACTGTACTTGTTACACAATCTTGTAACAAGTACAAAAGTGAACCACTTGTGTATGATAAAGTTTGGGGTGGAGAAAAGAGAGGTACCCCTGCTGTATAGATGGTATGCTTAGTCTCACCTCCCTTGCATAGCTCTAATCTTCAGGTATGCAGACTGTCCATCTAGTCAGACTGGGTTTTTTACCACTTTGAGGTGTAGAATGCTACACTAACACTATCTGAAAGGACCTTCTAAGGTTGCTTTTACACCTCTTCAGTCCTTTATACATACACACACTGCACCTAGCAACAGCTTGTTGACTCTGAGAAGAAGGCTCTTTCAAGTCTCAAGTCCTGTATAGTCTTGTGTGAAGACTTGCTGATATCACATTCACTTTTATCTCTACTTCCTACCATCATCTCTCTCTCTCTCCTTTGATATATATAGGGAAGGACTGGCACTAGATATGGAGCAAACTGGTGAAGCACTATCTGATGAAGGCCCTAAGGTTGCTCCAATCAGTAAGTGAGGCACATTAAAACTGTGTTAATGGTATCCCACTTTTCCTTTCATCCCACACTTTTGTATGCTAAAGCATACAAGTCATTCTCTATTCCACTCTTTATCTTGCAGCATATTATAGTATCTCTATAACTGCAGCTATAATGGCTGGAGTTTTATCCATATCTTCCTGCAGTTTCTGTAAAATGGCTAGAGTTGTATCCAATTCCTTAGCTTTTAGACACAGCACTATGCAGTCATTTTATGCCTATATTTTGCCTCTCAATGCACTAATATCTTCATATCCTGCATGGGCTACATTATCCTGCAGTATTTTGACTCTCTCACTCTATTTCTAGACACTAATAGCTATTCCTCTGACTTCAGTGTTTCCACTCGTCTCCTCCAAGCGGACAATCCCACCCAAGGAGCCTCCTCGTCGTACATTGCCCCTACATACCCGACTGATAACTATTCCTCTAACCCACCTCCTCCGCCAAATGGCTGGCAGTTCCTCCTACCCTCGGACATGGGTACGGCCCGCGGTCACCCTCACTCTACTGGGCAATACGAGCCGGCACCAAACGCCTCTCTCTCTCTAATGCCACCACCTCCTTATCAGTCCATTGCTTACTGTAACGGGTATCCAGGCTCAAAGATTGGGATTAGCTCCTTACCTTCTCAGTCTCTTGATGTCCATGGGCACCATCACACATCCATCCCTCCTCTTCACCACAAGTTTGATATTGGGTATAATAGTTGGAACGTTGGTGCTTCTTCTTCCACTGGGTCTGGGAGTAATAGTGGCAAGCCACTGCCTCCGGTTGGGACGCTCACGTCTCCTCCTTCTGTGTCCTATCCCAGCTCACCTAGCTATAATGGTAAGAGAGAGAGAGAGAGAGAGCCTACTATAATTTTAAAGGAGAGAAGTGTACACTGTATGAACTGTAATAGTAAAAGAGAGTGAGGGAGAGAAGGAGAGAGAGAGAGAGAGCCTAAAAGAAGTTTACTATATGTACTATGATGGTAAGAGACCAGAGAGATAGAGAGAAAGATGTATATTATGCTATAATGGAAGAGAGAGGGAGGTGAGAAAAAAAAAGAAAGGGTATAATAGTCTAATAAAGAAAGGGTTAGGTTGTATCAAAATGCTGCTTTGTTATGCATGCTGAGGTTATTTTCTTGCAGTTTGTACAGTCTTAAGTTATAGCCTCATCCCGGCCTGTTTTCATTTCCACTCACTAACAAAGTACAAATCTCTTTAGCATAACACACACAATCAAATGTTATGACAAAGCCATACCCCATCACGCGAGCCATCAATGAGACTAATTCTACTAACAATTACAGCATCTTGCATTAAGATTATACATGCACGTACATACGTAACAGCAACTCCATAAATGATATTTCTCTCATGTTGTTTATCGAATCCCTACTCTGCTCCATTCTGGCTTCCCATGCAATTAGCTTGGTGTGTCATATAGCACGTTAGCTGGATGGACCCGTTCCTCATTCCCTTATGCAGTGAAGCTTAAAGGCGCTTTTTAAAGTTATTTGATTATTAACTCAACTATGACAGACCTGCATAATAATGTATATTCATATACATGTATGTGGGTATGATTCTAGTCCATGATATATTACATATATATTGTGTATTGGCTGCTCATGGAGTGTATGTATGCTGTGATAAGGCCTTCCCACCATTTAACAAGTCCAATCTTATTAACCTTTCTCCATGTTTACCTCTACATATAGAGTCATGCTGTGTAAACACTGCTTTGTGAGAGCCACCTGGTACTGGAACACCTCCCCCACTATCCCTCATTCACCCGGCCTGCCTGTTTACACAATCATAGATAACTTAAAGATTTTTGTCTTAATTAACCTACTTGTACAGCAATTATCTATATAAGCAATTTCACCTGCTTCTATTTTGGTTGCTGTTTAATTCTTATTTGCACACGCATTTTTAAGGATTTAAGAATAAATAATGTACTTTTTATGCATCCCTTCCCTCCCCCCACATATACACATAGATCAAGATAATCCTGATTCTTCTAGACCTCCGATGGCCATCAAAGAAGAGTCTTATATTGAGTCGGATGACCGTGGTGAGGAGGACTATGGGCCGAGTGACGAAGAGAGTGACTCAAACTCTACCACGGATAAAGACGCTGAGCCAAAGAAGCCGAAAAGAACAAGGACAGCTTACAGTAACAGCCAATTGGACCAGCTGGAGTTGATATTTGCCACCACACATTATCCTGATGTGTTTACTAGGGAAGACCTTTCTAGGAGACTTGGTATTAGGGAAGACAGGATTCAGGTACGTGTGGAGTAGAGTATTATCCAACAACCCAAAGGATATATAGCCTTTGGTTGTTGGCCAATTTCATCAAGAATAAAAAGGAAAGGATTTTCTATTTTTTATATTTTTTCTGATGCATATACATGTACTTATGTTGCATAGAAAGTTTGAGCTGATTGCAATCAAATTTGGATTTTTTACAAATTTTTAAACTTACTCCACAATCAGCTAGGTCAAAGTCCTTGTATTGGTCAAATTTTACCAAAATTTAAAAGGAAAAATTCTTTATTTTTATTATTCTTTTTGATATGTATGCTTGGTAGAAATTTGACTTTTTATTATAAAAATTTAGCTTTGAAGTGGTTACATCTTGATGTTACTATGTACACATAGAAACTACAATAATGAAAATAAGGATTGTGTTCTAACTGTACTTGTATGACACGTATTATTATGCATACACTAATTAAGTATCACCTTGCGCAATTGCATGTGTTACTATTACGCAATATGTTTTACCTTATTAATCCTACATCATGTTACTATATTTAGAACAGTTATAAGTATAGTATCAGTTGCATTACAGTTAATCAGTTAATGTATACACATTTGCTTTATTATAATACATTGCAAGCATGATTAAATACGTAATGTTACACATATATTATTATTTTTACTTGTGATTTAAATTTTACTGAATTAGAATTTTGCAAAAAAATTAGATCACCCATATAATTACATGCCACATTCAATAATACATGACACAGTCTTACTTAGTAAAAATTAAATCACAGCACAATTTTAAAACACAAAAATTTTTTACCATACTAATTCCTGATCTATATTTTTATTCACAGGTTTGGTTTCAGAATCGTCGTGCCAGGTTCCGAAAACAAGAGCGCACAGGGAGCATCAGCTGTAGAAGTCGCTATCGCCAAAAACGACTCGAGAAACTCCAACACAACTTCATGCCTTCCTCTGCTGGCTACCCGCCCACACACTACCCACCAAGTGTCGTGGGTGGGGGAAATACCCTAAGCCTAGTTTCATCGCCAAGTGTCTCTACCACGTCTCCAGTTTCTTACGACTTCTCACAAAGTCAAGGGTTCTCGTTTCAGACCTCGTTTTATCCTGTCACGCCAAATTATCGTTCTTATTCCACTGGGACCGCTTTTCAGTATCCAGGGGGTCTGGCATCTCTTTTTCAAACTGCCCCCTCAACTGCCGAGGGAAAGTAGATGGGTCATATTACATTTAGCTCTCATTACATTTTTCACTCTCTCTCTCTCCCTCTCTCTCTACAAGGTGTGAGCTCTCCACTTCTCTGTTACATTCACAAGTTTAAGATAATCAATCAGCAAGAACTTCTTCAATAGTATTAATAATAATAAAAACAACATAAACAACAATAACAGTAATAAAATAATAAAATATTTGTGTTTGCATGCATGCATGGTTTTACCAATTACGTTTAATTTCTTTTTTTGTGTATATCCTATTTACACAATTTGTCTTAGCCCATTGACTATAATAGCAATAATAATAATAATAAATGAAAATAAAGCATATAGCAGTTTAATAATAATTGGTACATTCTATTTCCCCCTCACTCTCTCTCGTAAAGTGTGTGTGCGTATGCTATACATGTTTTACAAATTAATTATTATTAAAATAGACTCGCATTGGTGCAGTACATGTTAACACACACACACACACACTAGCAAAATAAGTTTTAAATATAAAGTTCGTTCGTGCCAAAGGTAACTTTACCAGGAGGCGAGAGGATTCCAGTCGAAGCCATTTCGACATACTCATTCACTCCGTCATCCTTATAGTCGATATCAGTGTATTGAGGGACTACTCCAGACTTTGTCACATTTATATAGTCAGTAGCCAGCAAATCGTCTTGAGAGTTATCTAGTTGTGGCCCGTAATCATAAATTTCTTCAATTTCTCTCTTTCGGGTACTAAACTCATCATAGAAGTCCTCTACCTGGTCAACTGGCAGGGGCATGGGAGGTTTTGGGACAGGCTTACTTACATTTGGTGGCAGGGGAGGAGGCGCTTTATTGCTGAGGTTTGCTTTGTTTGATAACTCCGGTAGCGGGCGTGCCTTTTTTTCTTTGACAGGGTCCGAGAGACCAGGTAGTGGAGGTAGAGGAGGAGCTGGTGGTGGGGCCGACTGCTCGTGGAGTGGTAGCGACTTATAAGCTGTGTTTCCAATGTGAGACAATGAGGAGTCTGCGGGTAGAGTCCTTGAGCCTGCGTCTCCAGGTAGGGGAGGAGGAGGAGGGGCAGGAGGAGTAGGTAAAGTGGCTGAAGAGGAAGCTCCGGGTGTAGAGATAGGACCAGGTGGAGGAGGAGGAGGGGCAGGAGGAGCAGGAGAAGAAGACGATGCAGCTACGGTTGTTGTCTTATTTCTGCTTTGATAATCCTCTAGTACATAGTTATCATCTTTCCTAGAGTTGAATGATGAAAGAGAACACGAGAAATAAAACTTTATTTGTTTATTATCTTCTCATTGTTTATTATGGGTCATATTGAAACTGCACTATATAATGTTGTGTACATGTATATGGAATAACTAAAAACAACTTTGCTGGCTTGTTGGTTTAGGAAACAGTTCTAATGCTTGCATGTGATAAGTCATATAGACTACAATTTGCAATGCATGTAATTTTATTGCATACTTTATAGTGACTGTAGTTTACATTTGAAAGTTCTTACCATTTCTTTCCTTGAGTTCTGTTTCCACTAATTTGATATGAAGGACCGTCCATTTTCCTTTTGATAAGTGCAAGTATGATAGCACAAGTAGATAGGAGTAAACAGGACACACCAAATATTGTAGCAGCTATTATGATGGGAAGTCTAAAGAGAGTAAAGAAACTAACTGAATTAGAAGGGGCAGGAGAACTAGGAAAAACAGTTGCTGCTGTTGATGTTGTTAAACTTGATCCAACTGGACTGGTTGAAGTGAGATATGTAATACTATATGAAGTTGAGCTTATACTTATTACAGAGCTGGAGATGCATGTAGTGCTGATTTCTATAAAAAGAACACTGTATTCACCCAAGTTCCCATTGGCATTCCTTGTTCCTTCCACTTGACAGGCAATCGTATAATCATCGAGTGTTATATTAAAAAACAGAATGCCAGAATTGCAGCTTATGAAATCATTGACTAGTACAGGTGAGCCATTGAAAGAAAATATTTGATTTAGTAAGCTCTGCACTTCAGTGGTGTTGTAGACAATTTCCTAAAATAACACAAAGTCACAAAAATATCAGGAAACTTATGGCTATTCTGCTACTGCTAAAAATCAATTTTTTGCATTGAAAGTGCTGCAAGAGCAGTCGTGTATTGATTTTTCGCATGTTGAATCAATATTCTAGTGTCGTGTTGTAAACAAAGCATTCTAGTGTTTATTAGTCATACAAGTACCAAAGAGTATACAATAACACAATGATGCCAAAGCCTCATATATACAAGCATAAATAGAGTATTGATATGCATACATTGTATTGATGCACTTGTAAACTTAGTTGGAATATGCAGTAGACAAAATATACAGTGCTGCATTTTGTAAGCAAAATCACAAGTGAAAGCACAACTCTGCAGTCCGGATGGAGTAACATTCATTGATTGTTATTATTAGCTAACCTCCAAGCCAGTACAGTTGCCAGTATTATTGGTAGTCGTATTAAGCCCAATTCCCAGTACACCTCCTATATGAGATTTGTTGATAAAAACAGTACAAGTGTGTAACAATTCCACTAGATTCTTTTGGGATTTTGGGAAAGGATACATATGCATGAGGGAGAGAAAGGAAGCTCCAATATATGCATGGGCTATACCATTTTGTAATAATGACATGCGCAGCTGCAGAACTGACTTTCTCGCATGCGAGCTAGAAAAGAGGATAACAACACCTTGTGTGTACATTTCAATATATACTTAACCCCCTCTCTTGATTACATTGCAAGGCACTGCACAAATTAAAGCAATCTTAAGGCAACACTTTTGCTTTTAGAAAGGGAATTAAAAAATACAGTGTGGGCATCATTAAGGAAACACACTTAAATGTGTGGACTGATAATATCAAATTTTATTGTCCATTTAGGCCTACTTTTAAGCATCCTAGCTATAAATACTACTGTATAAATTGGACACTATTATAGTGATAATAATTAAAGTTTAATAGTAATAGCTATTTGTAAAAGAATATTTTTATTGTAGCTATATATAATCTACAACAAGCAAGTAGTGATATAAAATATAGTACAATTGACTTATAGTTATAGTTTACGAATTGTGACTCATTTGTAATCCTTACCTATGTATTGTGATCGGGATTTAGCCGTAAGGAATATCAATACAATAAGGACCAGTTGCAGTGAACACCGCAAAGAACTCCTACCATTTGCTGCCATCATTTCTACAAGAAAAGACAACTGATTTTTCCTCCTCCTAATGAAACAGTCACATCCGGTTTAGTGCTAACACCCACGCACTTCCGGTTTTGCATTTTACGCCCACACACTACTACTTTTCTAACAAAACATAATTATTTTTAAAAATTAAAAAAATGTTTTTATAGGTAAAGTATGTTTTTCAGCGGTTAAGTTCATAGAGTAAAGCTGCCAGAGTCAAGTCCAATTCCCTAGCAGCACTAAACAAGCCTTGATTGCTTGGAGTGTGTCCTCTAGGAATTGACAAAGCTTCTAAAAATAGAGCTTAAATATAAAAAGATTATTTATTATATGTATAGCTACCTTGAGAATTTGGTATAGCTTGGACCATTAGAGCTGATAGCTCTTTTAGTCCATCCTCTTCTGCTCCTGGAGTGAGAGTATAATCATCTAAAGTCACATATGAAGCACCTAAAGAAGCATCATTGATAAAATTATGATCTTCATTACATATATAAGATTGAGTTTAGAAATATGAGTGATGTAAATTGTACATTATTAGTGTTTATTACACTTTCTATTGATGTACTTATGCTACGTAGAAAGTTTGAGCTAATTCCGACTAAATCTTTTCAAGTTATGGCCATTTTAAAAATTAGCCAAAATTGGAAAAAAATCCCATATGTACTATATAGCCCATGGTTTTTTCCAAAAAATGGCTAAAAAATCACCCCCAATTTTTATTACATTTTCTGATACATATTGATGTACTTATGCTGTGTAGAAAGTTTGAGCTGATTCCGACTAAAAATTTTTGAGTTACAACCATTTTAAAAAATTGGTCAAAATCTGAAAAAATCTCTGTACTATAGCCCATGGTTTTTTCCGAAAAATGGCCCAAAAATGACCACCAATTTTTATTACATTTTTTGATGCATATTGATATACTTATGCTCTGTAGCAAGTTTGAGCTGGTTTGAACTTACAATTTTTTAAGTTACGGCCATTTTTTTAAATTGGCCAATTTCTGAAAAAATCCCTGTACTATAGCCCATGGTTTTTTCCAAAAAATGGCTAAAAAATCACCCCCAATTTTCATTACATTTTCTGATACATATTGATGTACTTATGCTGTGTAGAAAGTTTAAGCTGATTCCGACTAAAAATTTTTGAGTTACAACCATTTTTAAGAAATTGGTCAAAATCTGAAAAAATTCCTGTACTATAGCCCATGGTTTTTTCCAAAAAATGGCCCAAAAATGACTACCAATTTTATTACATTTTCTGATGCATATTAATATACTTATGCTCTGTAGCAAGTTTGAGCTGGTTGGAACTTAAAATTTTTAAGTTACGGCCAATTTTTAAATCAGCCAAAATCTGAAAAAATCACTGTACTAGCCCATGGTTTTTTCTCAAAAATGGCTCAATAGTAAACCCCAATTTTTATTACATTTTCTGATACATATTGATGTACTTATGCTGTGTAGGAAGTTTGAGCTAATTCCAACTTAAAATTTTTTGAGTTATGACCATTATAAAAGTAGCAAATTCCAGAGAAAAGTCATATTATTTATTGCAAGACAAGTTAATTATGACTAGTGTCTCTACTTTTTCTCCTCACTCTGTATCCACGTACTCTCTCTCTCTCTCACTCTTTCTCTCTCTCTCTCTCTCTCTCTCTCTCTCTCTCTCTCTCTCTTTCTCTCTCTCTCTCTCTCTCTCTCTCTCACTCTTTCTCTCTCCCTCTCTATCTCCTAACCTGTCAGTGGTGTTGAAGTTGGCTGTACATGCATTGAAGGTCTAGCATAAACAACTTCCCCAGTATCCTACAAGCACAGAATACAGTGACAATAAAGTACTATATAGCTACATATATAGCACTGATTGCTTACCATAGTCAGTATGGGGCCTGGGCTCATTGTAGCATGACTACGATACTCTGAAAAAAATTAAATATTTACTAATAATAATTATGTTATTTAATAATGTTATTAATAATGTTTTTTTTAATATGTTATTTAAATACGTTATGTGCATGCTAATTATTGGTACATTATAAAGTAGCATATTCTCATATACCTGTGCTTGCACTGTTAGCTATTGATAGCCGTTCTCTCAATGATCTATTAGATACATTGTAGGTATAATAATGCAAAAGATGCTATATACAAACCTATTTTCAGCCTCAAGTTCAGTTACTCTTTCTGCAGTAATTTCATTCTCATCTTCTTCAATTATTGGTTCATGATGATGATGATGATGAACTCTGACTGCAGTAAACTCAGGAACAGCAGTAGGAAGAGGAGGAGGAGGAGCAACAGAATCACATAGCCTTTAATGCATAATAAAATAAAAACACTACAATATTAGTATCAGTTTACTGTGTCACAAGATCAGCTATTCTTCTATGCACATCATTACTGTGACTCTCAGTTGGCTCTCCTTCAATGACTTCCTTTGGTAGGTAGTAATTTTTACGTTTGCGACGATATCGTTTCGTAATCTTATTACGCATTTGACTACCAAAATCCTTCATATCATCAGTAGTTGTGCTCTATGAATGCAATTAGTATCAGGTTACTAAGTAATGATTGATGCTATCAGCTTACAGCAACACAGTATTCACGGATCGGGTGTGAAACTTTGTGTGATTTAGTCCCCATTTCAGTCCAATAGCAATTCTATAAACACAATCAGTTTATTGTGCAAGCTACTTAACACATACATATCTTCTATAGGGTTTAGTGTATGTGCATGTATATACATATACTTACCTGGCAAAGATCTACATTCAGACATTTAAGGCAGCGATAGCGAAAACCAACAATTGGATACATTTTGCAACCAGCACATTTTGCTTCATGTTTAACTACAATAAATATATAATAGTCATTGTTATATTGGTGTGATTTCTGATGTTGCTAGATTACCTGTTTCTGCAGTAACAAATCTGTGCAGTGTGGGTAGCCACACTATTAGCTGTGGCTCTTTCTTGAGCCATTCAATAAATCGTCCTTCAGAAATATCCTCACCATTTTGAAACTAGAGAATAAACAAAATTTTAAAAAATCATTCTAACAGTAAAAAATACTTGTCTACCATAAAAAATTTTTTGAAGTTTTATAACTGGGTTGACATTAATGATCATAAGGTATTTAATATGGTGTTCCTTTTAAATTATAAATTTTACTTTCATGCTTAAAAGTCTTACCAAAGATTTCAATGAAGCAATAGTCCCTGGTATGTCATCACCATTGAACATTTCTTGCTCATCAATAGTATCAATCAACTATGAAAAAAATTAAATTAGTTTATACATAATTTTTAATCACTTCTTTAACTTACCAACAGGACATCACTTAGCAACAGAGCTAGTTTTTCATCAGTCATGTGACCATTGATAGCATATAACTTAAACAAATCTATTTAAATTTTTTTGAAAAATTTCACTGCATTAATTAAAAAAAGTTATACCTTTGTATTTTCTGATGATAGAAGATGTAGTTAGTACAAGGAGACCAGCAAAAAGAGATCTTAATAAGACACGGCCAGTCCTACCACTGTAAAAAATTGTGTTATAATGATTATTCACAGCAGTATATTTATACTATACTTTATTAAGAAATCATTTTATTACATTTTTTTGATTGGAATTAGTTCAAAGTTTTTACACATTATAAGTACATGTATATGTATCAGAAAAATTTTAAAAATGGAGAATTCTCTCCTTTTCATTTTGACAAAATTTGGCTGAAATCCCTGTACTATTCATAGTAAAGCAGTAGAAACTAAAGCACACACTACATTACTAAAGTACACACATACTTACTAACCTGTCATAGCATTTCAAGGCCCAACTCAAGGATATCTCAATGGAGGCCTCAGCTTCATTTGCTTCCAATTTATTTTGCTCACATGCTTTATAAAAAATCTTAGCAAAGAGAGTCTCTATCTCTGAGACACTGAGATTACTCTCCATTTGATCAGTTAGATTCATATCTTTCAGTGACTTCCATACATTCTCCTTACTCACTTTATGCACTGTGTAAAGGGAGAAAGACTCATACTCAAAGTTTCAAACACTCATATTTTGGTACTAAAACTCACAATTTGTAATGACTTGAAGTGTCCTCAGTTTGCTAGCTACTCTGTATGCACCATAAGCTGGTCTAATGACATCTAGTGTCCCTGGAATATTGAAAAGATGTTAATGCAGTAGACCTACAACTTCTTAATAGTTTACTTAGTTCTTTGAATAGTTCTGTCAGTACTGGATGCTCCCATTGTGTTCTTCCATTGTTGTGACTACAAAATAGACATATTGTATCAAATATAGTGAGAAAAGATCAATATTTTAAAGAAGAATTCTATTGCAATCATTACTTCTTATAGTATGGTATTCCTTCTTGAGTTTCAGCTCTCTCCCAGTTCAATGGTAGCACACCTTTAAATGACAGGATAATGATGGTGGTTGCGTAAAGGAATGGGTCGCTTACCTAAATGAGCTTCTTCATTGTTGTTGTTACCAGGCATCTTTTGCAAATCTTAAAGAGGGCGTAGCTCATTGACTGGGCGTGGCTCTCAATCATAAGAATATTCATTATGATCTTTATCAAGTTAAGTATAAAAAATTATAGATAGTAAAACACTTTTGTGCCAACAACTGATAATACTGTACAAGGTCACATGATTCTGTTAGCTTAACAATAGAGTCTACATTTAAAAGAAAAATGGCATTCTCAAGCAGGTCTTGTTTTCTATTACTCCTGCTTGTTCAACTGATGACTGTATCTGGACAAGCACCTACCACCTTACCCAGTAATGGTAAGATATAAATTTTTGTAACTTCTAGATCTATATATACTCATATTCAGGTGTTCGACTGTACCTAGCTTATGAGGACAGGATAATACCTGATTACTCTATGATATATGCTAGCCAGTTTTATGATGTTGATGAGAATAATGATGATAATGATGTCAATGATGCTTTGTGGTGTCAGAGTGCTAACACTAGTACTAATATTGGAGTGTGGTATTATCCTAATGGAACTGAAATACCTTTATTTGATGGAGACTTTGGTCTATCAGCTCCTATTCCAGTGTACAGTAAGAGATTCAGTGGTCAGATTGCACTAGCTAGAAGAGGTGGACTATCAGGATATGAAGGTTTATACAAATGTATCATTCCTGATGAGAATGGAGTGAATCAAACACTAGTGGTTGGAGCATATACTGATACTGGATACAATAACAATGGTATGTGATGAATATAGACTATAATTAATGTACTTCTTTTACAGATGGTCCTGATGCTGATCCTACTATGCAGTTCTCTCTCCTCTCCACTAGTAGATTAGCTACTCCTCCAGTCTTCAGTCTCAGTTTCAATGTCTCTGATGGTCTTCCTACTATTGTCAGTTGTTCAGTGAATGGAAATGGAATATCTACTGAACTGTCTCGTGTGATAGTGAATGGATCAGGATCTGTTACAAGAGTGACAGTAACAGTGAGACTGAGAAAAGCTGGTAACTATCAGTGTACTGTAGCTAATGCCAGAGTAACTGATGGACCTATTAGTGGTAATAGTCATCCTACTGCAGTTAGTAGTACCTCATCATTTAGTATATTAGGTTAGTTTGTCATTAGTATCACTATTAATATCATTAAATTATATTCTCAGTATCTGATACTCCAACTGGTTTAACTGCTACAAGATTAAGTACTGGTTTAGCTCATGTAAGACTCTCCTGGTCTACTGTATCAGGAGCTACTGGTTATGAGGTCTTCAGTAAATTCTCAACTTTAACTCCTGTTAGTGTAGGCACTACTACCTCAACAACAATCAATATAATATCAGGATTGTTTCAAGGGATTACATACACTTTTTATGTAGTATCTTATGGATCTGATTTTCTACCTAGTGGTAATGCTTCAGTTATGTTAACAATTAGTAAGTAACTTGAAACTAACTCAATTAAAACTTCCCATACTATATTACTAACACATGTATTCTTGTAGGTGATCCAGTAGTTACTGATTTTATGGCTACATTAATTACAAGCACTGCCATTACATTTACATGGAGTCCACCAACTGCTGTAGTACCAATTAGTTATAATATTGTTAGGGATTGTCGGAGAGTATGTGAATCATCAACTGTTATATATTGATATATTATTTTGGTATTGATTCCTATTATTATTTTCTAAGGCATTTTGATTACAGTTATTTCTAGTATTATTATTATTGTTATTATGATTATTATTACTACCATTGTTATTACAATTATTATTATTACTATTATTAATTATTATTATTATTGCATTGCTGTATGATGTTATTTCTTTTCCTTCTAGCTGATGCTTATGATTTACTATGCTTATTAGTTCATGTATACTGATTCTGATTGTTGTGTAATGTTTAGTCATTGTGATGTAATATGATGTAATACTGTTTGTATATAAGTGTATGCTCTTTTCATTTTTGTCAGAAGAGATTTTAGCCTTTTTACAATAATCAATATTTACAAAATACGAAGGTCAAGCTCTCTCCATTCGGTCACTACACTGGCGACGAGGGTAACTGGACTACTTTGCTGTTTCTTCCTACTTCTCACTACTTACACTATGGCTACGCACGGCAAGATGTCGGCATTCGATGGTTCCAAGGAATCTTGGACTTCTTACTCCGAGAGACTTGACTTCTACTTCAAGGCTAACAAGATTACAGCAGCAGAATCTCAGAAAGCAGTCTTTATTACT